TGTTGATTTTGTATCCTGCTCTTTTTCAAATTAATTTATTAAACCTAGTAGTGTTTTGATGGAGTCTTTGGGGTTTTCTGTGTACAATATCATTCCATCTGGGAATAATGACAGTTTTACTTCCTTCTTTCCAATTTTGATGCTTTTTATTTTTTCTTTTCTGATTGCTGTGTCTATGAACTCCAGTACTATTTGAATACAAGTGGTGAAATTGGACATCCCTGTTTTGTTCCTGATCTTAAAGGAGATGCTTTAATATTTGACTATCAAGTATGATGTCAGCTGTACATTTTTCATTTATGGCCTTTATTATGTTGAGGCATGATTCCTCTATTCCCATTTGCTGAGAGTTTTTATCAAAAATGGGTGCTGGATTTTTCAAATGCTTTTTCTGCATCTATTGAAATGATCACGTGATTTTAGCCCTTCGTTTTGTTTACGTGATGTAACACATTTATTGATTTGCAAATGTTGTACCAGCCTTGCATCCCTGGAATGAATCCCACTTGATCATGGTGTATGGTCTTTTTAATACATTGCTGGATCCGATTTGCTAATATTTTGTTTAGGATTTTAGCATCTATGTTCATCAGGGATATTGGCCTGTAATTTTCTTTCTTCGTAGTATCTTTATCTGGTTTTGGGATTACGATAGTGCTGGCCTCATAAAATGAGTATTGAAGTCTTTCTTCCACTTAAATTTTTTGAAATAGTTTGAGGAAGATAGGTGTTAATTCTTCTTTGAATGTTTGTTAAAACTTGCCTGTGAAGACATCCTGTCCATTACTTTTGTTTGCAGGGAGTTCATTTTTAATTATTGCTTCAATTTTATTAGTTGTTATTGGTGTATTCAGGTTTTCTGATTCTTTCATATTGACTTTTAGAAGATGGCATGTTTCCAGGAATTTGTCCATTTCACCCAGGTTATCCAATTTGTTGGCATATAGTTGTCCATAGTATTTTCTAACAATCTTTTGTATTTCTGTGATGTCAATTGTTACTTTGCCCCTTTCATTTTTGATTTTATTTATTTGGGTCCTCTTTCTTTGTTTTTTGATGAGTCTAGCTTTGCTTTTCTTTTTTTCTTTTTTAGTTCCTTTTTAAGTTTAAAGTTAGATTATTTTTTGGAGGTTTTTCTTGTTTCTTGAGGTAGGAATGTATTGCTATGCATTTCCCCCTTAGGATGCTTTCGCTGTGTCCTGTAGATTTTGTGTTATTGTGCATTTATTATCATTTGTTTCAAGGTATCTTTTGGTTTCTTCCTTAATGTCATTGTTAACCTTGTTTAGTAACTTGTTATTTACGCTTATGTGTTTGTGTGTTTTTAGTTTTTGCCTTGTACTTTATTTCTAGTTTTAGACATTTTTCATTGGAGAAGATGCTTGCTGTGATTTCAGTGTTCTTAAATTTATTGATACTTGTTTTGTGTCCTAATGTATGGTCTATTTTGGAAACTGTTCCATGAGTATTTGAAAGGAATATATGTTTTGCTGTTTTAGCATGAATACTCTGAAAATATCAATTAAATCTATCCCATCTAATGTATCATTTAAGTCTGCTTTTTTCTTGTTGATTTTCTGTCTGGAAGATCTATCCAGCTCTGACAGTAGGGTGTTAAAGTTCTCTACTCTGACTGTATTAGTGTCTATTTCTCCATTTTTATCCATCAATATTTGCTTTATATATCTAGGTGCTTCTGTGTTGGGTGCTTTACAAGATTTAATTCCTCTTGTTGGGGTGATCCACCATTATCTTTATGCAGTGTTCTTCTTTGTCCCTTATTATAACCATTGTTTTAAAGTTTATTGCATGAAATATCTTTTTCAACTCTTTACTTTTAGTCTTTGTGTTTCTTTTGATCTGAATTAGATCTCTTGTAGACAGTATATATATGGGTCTTGTTTTCTTATCCATTTAGCTATCCTATGTCTTTTGTTTGCTGGATTTAATTCATTTACATTGAAAGTGATTAAGGTTAGGTAGGTAACTATTGTCATTTTATCATTTATATTTGTTCCTATTCTCCCCCCTTTAAAAAAAAGTTTCTTTAACATTTTTTGTAATACTGGTTTGTTGGTGATGTACTCCTTCAGCTTTTTCTTGCCTGGGAAGCTGTTTGTCTCACCTTCATTTTTGATGATAACCTTGCTGGGCAGAGTAGTCTTTGTTATAGGTCCTTGTTTTTCATCACTTTTGATATTTCGTGCCAGTCACTTCTGGCCTAGCAAAGTTTCTTTTGTGAAATAAATTGACAGTTTTATGGGAGCTCCTTTCTTTTGCTGCTCTTAAGTTTCTGTTTTTGTCTTTAATTTTTCCCCATAATTTTAATTAAGATGTGTTTTTCTATGAGCCTGTTTGTATTCATCTTGTTTAGGACTCTCTACACTGCCTGCACTTGTATATATATTTCTTTCATTAGCATATAGAAGTTTTCATTCATGATTTTTACAAATAGGTTCTAAATGTCTTGTTCTCTCTCTCTCCTTCTGGTAACTCTATGATATGAATATTGTTATGCTTGATGTTTTCCCAGAGGTCCTTTAAACTATCCTTATTTATTATTATTATTTGTTACTTTTCTGATTGATGTTTTCTGCTACTTTGCCTTCCAAATTACTAATTTGATCCTCTGCTCATTAATCAGCTTCTGAAAGAACCAGGGGCTCACAAGTTGGGTGAGATGGGGTCTCAGGGTGTTAGCAGGGTGGGGTGAGTGGTTTTCACCAGGTTAATGAGGGTTTAGATTTGGCACCAGTGCTGAGCCTGATGCCATTCAGCAAAAGTCTGATGGTACACCAAGACTAACTGCCATTTGCCTGTGGCCTGTGGAACTTTGTGGTGGGGCTGGGTCTCAAGGAGTTGTCAGGGTGGGTTGAGTGGTGTTCACCTGGCTAATAGGTTTCAGATTTGGCTGTGTGGTAGGAGGGCTCAACACAGAAAAGACGGTGCCTGTTGTCTATGAGAGAGGAGGGCTCAACACAGGGACAGTGGCAGCCATCCCTCCAGCACTTGCCCTGAGCCATACAACTCAGTTTTTCCCTGTATGTCTCTGGCACTCCCTGAATTACTGTCCCTTCACCAGAGCCCAAGGTGAGTGCCTGTGAGCAAGAGTTTGTCTGCAGGACCTCTAAGAGGACACCTGGGTTTCCAGCCTTCTCCCAGAGGGACAGAATCCCCACTGATTTTTATAGCCACATGTATGGACTTCTCTTTCCGGCACTTGTGCTCTGGGTTGGGGAGCCCAGCTTGGGGCTGGGACTCCTGGATCCTCAGCCCACCTCTGCAGCTGAGATATCCCTTTGGATTTTCAACTGCCTCATATGGGTGTGGGAATAGCCCATTTTGTGTCTCCACAATTGCTACCAGTCTCAATGTGACTTCTTCAGTATATCCTTAGTTATAGGATTTGTGTTTAGCTAGTCTTCAAATGGTTGTTCAGGTTGATTGTTCTATAATTTAGTTGTAATTTTGATGTGGTCATGGCCTGCATCTATTCCACCCTTTTGACTGGAACATATAAAAATAATATATTTTTAAAAATTGCCTCTGTTATTCTAGTTGTCTTTTAAAAAGTCCATGTTATTTCAAAAAAGTTACTTTCTCCACTATATAAATGTAGTCTTTTTCTACCATTTCTGACTATAATTCTAATGGCCTAGCGTAAGAAAATTTACTGATAATGCCCAAGCTTACTGGGTACCATAGACTTAAGAAATAAACTGAGTTTTCAGGTTGGGAGGAATTATTTTCCAGTGTCATTGTGGAAGCTGTTTTGTAGTTTGAAAATTAATGATTTATGTGTTAAATTTTAAAGGATGATGAAATAATTATTTTCCTATGAAAATCTCAAATTGCTCTACAAATGATAACTCCTTAAACCAAATGTTTTAACACTTATCCTCACACTATTTTGTCATTCCCTTATGAGCAAGTGGCATTGGGCTGTCATCATTGAGCTGATACACAATAATAGCAAAATCAACAATGCTAGAGGAAGAAATATGTAAAACTGCAAATGGAGAATGGTGGCTGGAGCAGCTGAAATAAGGCATATTTTTTCCATGACCTACTGCATCATTTTCCCTTTGGTGCTCTATAATCTTGTTAGTCAGAGTATAGTCCAAGAATCAGCAGCAGCAGCATCCCCTGGGAACTTGTTAGAAATGCAGAATCTCAGGCCCTAACCCCCGACTACTGAATCAGTCTGCATCTTAATAAGATCCTCAGATAATTACTATTCATATTAATTTGAGAGGCACTATTCTAAAGACTAAACAGACCTAAGAGTTTACAAAGTTCATTGTAACGGAGTCCTTTGACTTTACCATTTCACAGCCTTGGCTAGGACAGCAAGTTTTTTGGAAATGGGTATCATGGTTACCCATTTTACAAAGTAAACATTTTCTTTTGCCATACTTCAGTTTAGCCACTGCTTTAAAAATCTAAAGTTCAGCCCTGGCCAGTTTTGCTTTAGTGGTTAGAGTGTTGGCCTGGTTACTAGTTGTTATTATATTTTCTTTTCCCAAGGGAGTGGATATAGGTTATAAATTCAGATTCCAGAGTCAGATTGCCTGGGTCACATCCTGGCTCTGCCACTTGTATCTAATTTCCTCATTTGTAGAGTGCAACTGTGATGAGCATAGGTGTCCCCCTTACCACCCCGTTGATTTGTATTGGACTGTAATTGAGCTACACATAAGTCTTTGGGGTGTTTGTGAGATTGATTCTTCTCAGCTTTATTACTGGATTTATGGTTTCTTGGCCCTAACTGAACCAGCAATTATTGAAAAGTAGATGGAGTTTTGAAAACTTTTCAACTTTAGTAAAGAAATGTTCTTACTAATGAATAATAGGAGACTTTTCAGCTTATGAAAAAAGTGTACAGATAGATTTAAAAGTGATGGGAAATCTTACTGAATTATAACCTACTAAGAAATAGTAGGAACATTTTACCGGCAGGCCTTAGACACTTACCAGCATTCTAATCTTGTTTTCTACAGGGGGCAGCTGGCATTTTATGCTATGTGGGAGCCTATGTCTTCATCACTTATGATGACTATGACCACTTCTTTGAAGATGTGTACACTCTCATCCCTGCTGTAGTGATTATAGCTGTAGGAGCTTTGCTTTTCATTATTGGGCTAATTGGCTGCTGTGCTACAATCCGGGAAAGCCACTGTGGACTGGCCACGGTAAGTGAGCACTTCATTGACCACACGTGTTGTCATATATATGGGAATATTTCATTTGTGTTACTTGCTTTGAATTGAGCATGAAACTCCATAGACTGGCTCTTAATAGGAACAGAATTAGCACTTGTGTTAAACTTCTAGCAATTATCTTAGATAATTGTTTTTTTTTAATCAAGACAGTATTTAGTGCTATTTTTTATTTGTATTTAACTTTTGACTATGTTTCCTTGCAGTTTGTCATCATCCTACTCTTAGTTTTTGTCACAGAAGTCGTTGTAGTGGTTTTGGGATATGTTTACAGAGCAAAGGTATGTTGTCTACTATAATTTATATGTTTTAAAAGATGGTTTAAATGTTTCAAATGAAATAGAACAAATTCATTTTACAAAGTAAACATCTTTTGCCATACTTCAGTTTAGCCACTGCTTTAAAAATCTAAAGTTCAGCCCTGGCTGGTTTTGCTTAGTGGTTAGAGAGTCGGCCTGCAGGCTGAAGGGTCCCGAGTTTGATTCTGGCCAAAGGCACGTTGTACCTCGGTTGCAGGCTTGATCTCCGGTCCCTCGGGGTGCATGTGGGAGGTAGCCAATCGATGTGTCTCTCTCCCATTGATATCGCTCTCTCCCCCCCCCTTCACTCTCTCTGAAAAGCAATGGAAAAAATATCCTTGGATAAGGATTAAAAATAAATCTAAAGTTCATTAGAAACTATATGTCAAGATTTCTAGTTTCATTTTTAAAAAGCATCTTTTTTGATTTCAGAGAGAGGACAGAAGAGGGAAAGAGAGATGGAAACATCAATAATGAGAGAGAGTCATTGATTGGCTGCCTCCTGCACGCCCCTGCTGGGGATCAAGCCCACAATCTGGGCACGTGCCCTGACTGGGAGTCGAACCTCAATCTCCTGGGTCGATGCTCAACTGCTGAGCCATGCTGGCTGGGCTCTAGTCTCATTTTGTATAGCAAAGTGTTCATTCTACTGTTCTAGTTTTTATGTATTTAGTTTTCTTTAAATTTCCTCAGAATGAGCTCTAGATGAATAATTGGTCAAATGAGAAGTTTGTTCAAATTTCCTCAGCCCATAGATTCTCTATATGACAGGGTAAATTCAAGTTTCCTGATTTCTGTTTCATTTTCCATTGCTTCTTTTAAAAATGCCTTAGAAAACTGTTAATTGTGGGTTGTGATCCTACCTTCTACCCCATCCTGAGGAACAAGGTGTCCTGTCAACTCAAACACCAAAGCAGCTATTGCCAGTCACTCCTTTCTTATCCCTCTTTCTTTGTCATTTCCTTTTATTTTCTTTCCTCTTTCCTTTCTATTTTGCCTGCTTTTGCTTTCCACCTATAGTACCATTTAAGGCTAAACAGGCTGCTTTAAATTAATTACTTTGGGCAGAACTTTAGAGCCATGTTATGAAGGTATAATAGAGTCATTATAAAGTATGATTTTAAATCAAAGACATGATATTCCAATGTAATATTCAAATCGTTGATACATAAGGTATCAGGCAGCTATGCCAAAAAAAGGAATGCAATGGGGTTATGCTCCTACCTATGATCTGGTTATCAATTTTATAGTCTCCTGAAATCACTGATACAATTACCAAATAAGTCTAATCATCTTAAAAGGGTAAGGAGAATCGGGTATAAACAGACTTTATTAAGTGACACTTTCTTTCTTATCTCTTTAGTAATTGGCAGGAAAGTGTCATTCCTAAGGACTGATTTTTTTTACCTGCTGATTACTTTTGCATATTTGGCCAAGTCTAATAATTGTCCCAAAAGTATCTTGTGGTGGTTTTTTATTTTATTTTTACCTTCTTTAGGAAAGGAAAATGAGTAGATCTTCTGAGACTACACTGAAAACATATTTAGAAAGAAGGCAGTTGGCCTGGCCAGTGTAGCTCAGTGGTTAGAGCATTGGCCTGCTCACTGTAGAGTTGTGGGTTTGATTCCCAGTCAAGGGCACTTGCCTGGATTGCAGGTTCGGTCCCTAGCCCCAGTTGATGTGTCTCTCTCACATTGAAGTTTCTCTCGCTCCTCTCTCTTTCTTTCCTCCCCCTTCCCTCCCTTCCACTCTCTTTAAAAATATATCTTTATTGATTTCAGAGAGAGGAAGGGAGAGGGAGAGAGAGATAGAAACATCAATGATGAGAGAACCATTGATCGGCTGCAACCCGCAGCTGGGGCATGTGCCCTGACTGGGAATCGAACCCCGATCGCCTGGATGGATCCCAGGTCAACGCTCAACCACTGAGCCACGTCCGGCCGGGCTCCACTCTCTTTTAAAAAAAAAAAAATCAATGGGAAAAAATATCCTTGGTGAGGATTAACAAAAAAGAAAAAAGAAGGCAGTCTATTTATCATTTAGAACATCTGTGTCAGTGCTCAACTGCTTTCTCTCTTTTGAGTGGGTTGTTAGCCTACCATCTTGCACACAATCTTTTCTTTGAATGCTTAATCTATGTGATATAAAATGTCTGAATTTTTACCTGAATCTGTATAGAGGCAGAAAAGGAGAAAATTTTTTCTAATAAGAAATTTACAGAGAAATCTGGCAGTTTTGCAGATACACCATTTAGGTATTTTAGCTAGAGCCTTGACTAATATTACTTTTACTAGTATTTTAGAGGGACCAAATTGTTTGTTTTGATTTAGGTGGAAAATGAGGTTGACCACAGCATCCAGAAAGTATATAAGACCTACAATGGAACCAATCCTGATGCTGCTAGCCGGGCTATTGATTATGTACAGAGACAGGTGAGCTCTCTTGAGGTGAATTTGGTTTTGAGGGCCAATCACTGTTGGGTCAACGTGAAACTTACTCTGCTATTATTATGTAAATTAGCCATGTACCTTCACAGTCATGGTTAACTTCATAATGTATTCAATATTTTTATCTTCATCCTTGAAAGGTTTTCTCCCGTCATCACCTAGTCAAAGATAAAAATGCATCTGACTTTTTCCCCATAAAATTAATTAACCAGAGAGGTGATAATGGAAGAGAGGTACATGTCACAGGGAAGGTGGGAATCTAGACAACTTAAAAGGAGGTGGGAGATCTTCTTCATATATCTTTTTAAAAATGTTTTTATTGATTTCAGAGAGGAAGGAAGAGGGAGAGAGAAAGATAGGAACATTAATGATGAGAGAGTCATCATCAATTGGCTGCCTCCTGGGGAGCCACTGGGGATCAAGCCCGCCACCCGGGCATGTGCCCTGGCCGGGAATCGAACCGTGACCTCCTGGATCCTAGGTTGATGCTCAACCACTGAGCCACGCCCGGCCAGGCTTCATATATCTTTTAAAAGCAAGACCAGAAAAGGTAACTGACAAAACTGTAAAAAAATATTATGGACAATTTGAAACATATACGGAGATAGAAAGAATAGTATAGTACATCGTTATGCACATAAAACCACCTTCAAATTTGTCGGCATTTTGTCAGTCTTGTTTCATCTTGTTACTCCCACATATCTTTTGCTAGATTATCTTAAAGCAAATCACAGACATTTTAGACAAAATATTTTAAACACTCTGTCATTGGAAATAGTATTTAATTCAGAACCAGGTATTTCACATGTAAGATAGGAAGATTTTTCTTAGCTATAAACTACCTCTTGTGGGAAATGTGCTCTTCATATGGAGGTGCTAGAGCCACTCGCCATATGCAGCTATTTAAATTAAACTGAAAAATTCAGTTCTTTAGTCACACCAGCCACAGTTTAAGTGCTTAATAGCCTTATGTGGCTAGTGGATTCCGTGTTGGACATGCAGACATAGAACATTTCTATCAGTGCAGGAAGTTCTATAGGGATATCACTGTTTAGAGTAACTTTAAGTTCTGCAGTACACAAAACTCTAAAGTTCAACACAGGTATATGTATTTTGTGAGGAGTAATATCTCTGTTCTCCTTTCCAAAGCTGCGCTGTTGTGGAATTCACAACTACTCAGACTGGGAAAATACAGACTGGTTCAAAGAAACCAAAAATCAGAGTGTCCCTCTTAGCTGCTGCAGAGAGACTGCCAGCAGCTGTAATGGCAGCCTTTCCCACCCCTCCAACCTTTATGCTGAGGTAAGTTCAGTTTCTTGGCCAAAACTTGAATCTAGCCTGGTAACCTGTTTTTCTCTGTGAATCATCTCTACCTGGAAGTTCTTTTCTACCCTCTTTTGTTTGTCCTTTTAAGTGTACAGCTCAGTACTATTGAATATATTCACCACCACCATCTCCAGAACTCTTTCCCTCTTCCACACTGAAACTCTATACCCATTAAATAACTCTCCATTCTCTTCTCCCCCAGTCCCTGGCAACCACCATTCTACTTTCTGCCTATGAACTTGACTATTTTTAGGTACCTCATACAAGGAATCATACAATACTTGTCCTATTGTGCCTGGCTTACTTTTTTACTCAGCATAATGTCTTCAAGGTTCATCTATATTGTAGCATGAATCAAAATTTCATTCATTCATTCATTCATTCATTCATTTATTTAAAATATATCTTTATTGATTTCAGAGAGAGGAAAGGAGAGGGAGAGGGAGAGATAGAAACATCAATGATGAGAGTCATTGATCGACTGCCTCCTGCATGCCCCCTACTGGGGATCAAGCCTGCAACCTGGGCATATGCCCTGACCGGGAATCGAAGCCCAATCGCCTGGATCCTAGGTCAACGCTCAACCGCTGAGCCATGCCTGGCCGGGCTTCATTCCTTTTAAAGGCTGAGTAATATTCCATTGTATAGATAGTCCACCTTTTGCTTATGCATTCATTCATGGATGGACACTTGGGTTGCTTTCCCCTTTTGACTGTTGTGAAGAATGCTCCTATGAAAACGGGTGTACAAATATTCTTTTGAGTTCCTGCTTTTAATTTTTTTTATTTTATGATTTAAGTTATATTATGTTCAGACTATAGTTATGTCTTTTTTAATTAAAAAACCAAAATTTTTTAAAATTACAGTTGACATACAATATTATATTAGTTTCAGATGTGTGTATAGTGGTTAGACATTTATATAGCTTACAAAGTGATCTCCTCAATAAGCCTAGTGCCCACCTGACACCCTGCATAGTTATTACAATATTATTGACTATATTCCCTATGCTGTAGTTTATATCTCCATGACTTTTGTTTGTCTTTAAAGCTATTTTATTTTACTGTAAATTATTTTTAAATGCATTGTCTTCTTTTTCTGTCTTTTAGTTTCTGTCATTTTCATTTCTGCCAGAGAGTAGTAGTATGTGACCTTGTCGCTTTCAGTTTTAAAAGAGACATCTAATAAGGATGACTTTGTGTGTTGCAGGGGTGTGAGGCTCTAGTTGTGAAGAAGCTACAAGAAATCATGATGCATGTTATCTGGGCAGCGCTGGCATTTGCAGCTATTCAGGTAAGCACAGCTAGCCAAGCGATTGTGATCAGAGTGTACTGATGTCAACCCTGAATGGTTTTAATCACTAAGTGTATGTAGATAACTTGAAAATGATTGAGATACCAGGCACCAGTTTCCAACATCTTTTATTTCCTGTCTTTAGACCTAGACCCAGAATGGTTTCAGGAAACCAGAGGTCTGGATTTGGGGACCATGTGTGAGAGGACTCTGTCTTATTTTCTTGACTTGATTAGTGAGTGACCTGTTCAAAATGCAAACTGTTGTCATAGTGTATTCTTGGGAGATATTTTAATAGAACTTTGAAGAATTTTTAAGAATTGTATTGCTTTATTTCAGTTTGGGAATAGCTTTATTTTAGTCTTTTAAAAATATTTTTTCTCCTTTCAGTTCTTGCTTTTCTGTCCTCAAGGGTTTTATATGTTTATATACATAAATCAAGAACTGGTACTACAACTCTAGTATCTTATAGGAGCAATCGTATTGCTTTACAGAAAAGGCCTTAAAATAAAAACTGAGGTTCTAACCCCTTCTGTATTTGAAACTTAGTTTTTTAAGGCAGATAATCATCAAGGAGTCCATGACATCACTTGACATATCTGGAAGTGTACCATGCCATTGTTGGTAGAAGAGGGAACTGTTTTCTCAACTACTGCCAGTAAAAATAGCCTTTTCCCCCTTAACAACAGCATGTGCAAAGTAGCTGGAGTAATTGCTTAATTATCGCTTAACTTCATCTACTGCCAGACCACCCCCTCCCTACACACACACACACGCACGCACACACACACTTATCCCTTACCCCTACCTGTAAATAAAAAAGACAGCTATTTTTATGCTCAGTACAACTACTTACATGCCTAGTTTGTCAGGTATATTCAGTATATCTTAGAGAGTCTATCAGAGGAATGTTTTAGAAGAGTCTTAAAACTGAGAATAGCCAACTTTTTGAAAATGATTGAAAATCCTTTGCATCCAACCTGTTTCTTAGAGCGTTCTTTTAGTTGTTCTTGAAATATGCTTTAGGCCTAGAGAATATATTTTAATTGTTAGATAAAACCAATTTGATTGCTAGTTTATAAGTTGCTTGGATTGCTTCTCTCTATTTGAACAGAAGCTAGTGTATTTAATGGGCAGTGTCTTTTAAAAGGGCAAAAGGGTGATTGTTTACTTTGCTAGTATTCAAACAGCCCTGAAATGATTCATTAAAAAGCCTAGCTTTTTATTTGCTCTGATCTTTGCCTTCCTAACATTTACTTTGGCATAGCAGTAATCTGTTCATCAGTAGGGATGTGTTTCATATTTTGATTGTCTGTACAAACACATTTATTTAGGTAAAAATAATGAAACTTGAAGGAGTCTTCTTGTCTTAAGTGAAATCCTGACCTGTGCATTCTTAATAATTTTATGTGTAGTAAGAAAGCTGCACATGTTAGCATGCAGCAAAGAAAGCTTTGGAACTGTATGGTGACTTTTTAAAAAATACATATCTTTATTGATTTCAGAGAGAGGAAGGGAGAGGGAGAGAAAGAGATAGAAACATCAATGATGAGAGAGTCATTGATTGTCTGCAGCCCGCAACCCGGGCGTGTGCCTGACCAGGAACTGAACCCCGATCTCCTGGATCCTAGGTCGATGCTCAACCGCTGAGCCATGCCCGGCTGGGCTGTATGGTGATTTTTGATCATGCAATATGCAACATGTGTATAGAAGACTGATGAAAATTGTCCCTTTAGTTATGTCCCTCATCTAGTTAAGGTTATTAACCAGCCAGATATTTCTTCATTAACTTTTTTAGTGGGGACTAATAAATATTCTAACTAGTCTCTTCTCATATGCATTTGTCATGAGATGCTCACTGGCACCAATACAACGCCAACAGGAATTCCCAATTTGGGGTGTGGTGAAGAAGGAAACTATCCAGTACAAAACAATTCAACTATGATATAGCATGGCTGTGGAACAGCTCAATAGTGATACAGCATAACTGTGAAAACAGCCTGGCTGTGAGGCAAGCTTGGGGCCAGGCCCCTGTCTGGCTAGACAGCTCTGCTCTTTCCTAGTCTGCTCTGGTCTGCTCTGGTGAAATATCTTCAGTGTTTCAGCTCAGTCAGGGAAATGCAATCTTCAGTGGAAAGGAAAAGTGTGCTCCCAGAGCCAGAGGAGAGCTGGCTTATCTCACCCCTGGCCCCTGATTGGTCCATCCTCATGCAAAAGAGGACTCCAAATCTTTGCAGTTTGATTGGTCCAAAAGGCACTGTCCTGATTGATCAGAATGGAGCCATTGTGATTGGTCAGTGAAGATATTGATGGGGGAAATACAGCTGCTCAGCTCTAATTGGATGGGGAAAGCCTCAGTCCTATTGGTTGAGGAACTCTTTTATAAGGGCTAGCTCACATGGCAGAAACATAGTGTAGCCAGGCAGTTCAGTGCAGAGGCAGGTAGTTCAGTGCAGGCTTTTCCCTGAAGCACAGTTTGCATGAGATGCCCCTGTGTAGAAATGGCTGCTAGGCTGTTTATTTCTTTTAATTGGAGCACAGTTAGTTAACCACTGGAGCCCCTTTTAGTAGCTGTCTTTTTTTCTCAGGGTTCACATATTTTATACTTAAATCACCCTGACTTAAGTAATAGCTGATAAGGATTTTTTTTTTTTGAATATTTTTACCTGTTTTGTCTTAAGAACTTTATAGTTTAGTTCTTATATTTAGATTATTAATTTATTTTGAGTTAATTTTTATATATGGAGTGAAGTAGGGGTGAGGTATGATAAATATTTGATGTTAGGGATTCAGAGCTTTCACAGACTCAAAACCTCTAGTGGCTTTGAAAATGAAAAAAAAAACTTTTATTTTAAGGAAAAACCATTCATTTTAGGTAATAAAAGAAGTTTCCCTAATTTTTCTTTTTTTAAGAGTACCTATAAATGTTCTAAACTTCTGATATTCAAAATCTAATGTGCCCTGGTACCTTGGGTGTAGAAAACCTGGCAAAGGCAGAAACAATTCAAAGATCAGTAAGCTCTTGTGTTTGTATACCAATCCTGAGAAAGTTAGACCTAGAAGGGCACTTGGAGATTCTCTAGTTCCTGTGTCCTTCATTTTAAAGGTCATGAAAATGCGGGTGAGTGAGGATAATATGACTTATGACTATCACAAAAGCTTGACCCACAGCTCTATTGTACTCCAGTTGCAAATTGAAGAATTAAGATTCTCAAAAGATAAAATTCCTAAATTCTGTTATGAAACCTGACAGTTAATTGACACTTCAGCTGAATAAGTTATACAGTGTAATACCATTGAAATATTAGCACTTTCCTTCAGGTTCTAAAGTGGGGAAGCTCTAAGAGTTATCATAGTAAATATGGTTTGAAATAATGTTAATGATTGAAAGTTGATTTTTGATAGTGTTTTGAGTATCAAAACTGTTTTAAGCATTGTCTCCTTTGATTTTAGTGTGATTTGTGGTATTAACTATTACGGTACATTTCATTGATGTTCTAATGCATAAAGGTGAATTTAAGAAGAAGTTCTTTCATAAGCTTAATTTTTACCAATAAAAGGCTCTAGTTCAGGAGTTGCCCATCTGTGTGGGCCAAATCTAGCTCACCACCTCTTTTTGGGTGAGCTACACTTGTTTATGTATTGTCTGTGACTGCTTTTGTGTTACAGTGGCAAAGTTGAGTAGTTGCAACAGATCAATTTTGTCTCTTGGTCCACAAAGCCTAACATATTTACTGTACTGCCCTTTAAGAAACATGTGCCAACCCTTGCACTAGTCTACTTAAATGATCTTGGTTTGGGTAGGACCAAAATGATCAAGAAAGAAAAATCTGCAAAATACTAGGTAATTATTATAACAGGGTTTTTGAATATAAAATAATGAGATTTAAAATTTTTTTACTATACGCCTTATCTTGTTAGCTTATTAATCAGCAAGATATTTTACTTTTTTGAGAGTAGTTATCCTTTTAAGTTAACAAATGATTAATTATGAATTTCATATCAGAAATTCATGAAGGACAAAACATCTAGGTTTTGATATGGCAAGCTCTTAAGTATCTGCTGTGGGTAAGGCTCTCTGCACAGGCAATATGGGAAAAATGGGAATGGTCAGTCTTTGAAGCCTCATGAAGTTAGCATGTCCTCAAGTGGAGTGGTCGAGAGCATGCTTTTAGAGAACAGTTTCCCAAGGCCATGGTGCTTTTTTCTGTTCTGTATGCCAAATGTGAGGGAAGGAGGTTGAAACTGTATTTCTGTTCCTTCCTGCTTCTTGACTACTAATTATTTATTAAAATGAGTTAAAACACATAAGTGAATAACATTTCAGATGGAAGCCACATATAGTTAGAATTGAGTGGCTAGATTCTTTAAAAATATATATTCCAATTAATTCTTCCTTAAAAACTTAAACCAAAGTTTGGGGAGCTAATTTTTGAGTAGCTATGTAACCAGTACCAAGGTTTCACTGCCTGCTGCCACGAAAACCAAACTGGTAAGACAAATGCTGGTGAAAAAGGAAAGAGGTTTATTCCAGTGCCAGCATCGAGAGAAGATGGGAGACTTTTGTCCAAAGCCCATCTTAGCATCTCAGTGCAGGCAGGGTTTTTGTTTGTTTTGTTTTGTTAATCTTCACCCAAGGATATTCTTTCCATTGATATTTTTTAGAGAGAGTAGAAGGGAGGGAGGAGGGGGGAGAGAAATATCGATGTGAGAGAGAGACATCAATTGGTTGCCTCCCGTTCATACCCTTCTGGGGCCGGGGATCAAACCTGCAACCCAGGTACATGCCCTTTACTGGGAATTGAATCCATGACCCTTTGGTGCATAGCCCAACACTCTAACCACTGAGCAACACCTGCCAGGGCTCAGGCAGGTGTTTTCATAGGAAGGTAGAAAGCAGAACAAAGAGATCAGGAGGAGAGGCCTGTGGATGTGCAGGCAGTGTCCTTGATGGTCCTGATATGTCTGGTTAATGTCAGCATACTGAAACTGGTCAGTGC